AATTGAAGGGATTGAAAGAGCAAGCCGATCTGGAGGTAAATCTGTTTCAGGACAGCCTCAACAACATTCGCACTGCCACTGCCCGCCTTGAGCTCGCATCCGCCGCCCTTCACGACCTCTCCCTCCGCCCTCAAGGTCGTCTCACTACCTACCTTGCACCTTGGCTTCTGTCATCATTTTATTTATGATTTATATTTTCACAAAATAATGGTTTCTGATAGCTTCTTATTTCCCTTTCTTTTTTTCTTTTTCTTTTTTCTTCCCACTCAATTGAATCAGGGAAAAAAATGCTGGTGCCATTAACAGCGTCGCTTTATGTGCCGGGTATGCTGGACGAGTCGGAGAAAGTCTTGGTCGATGTGGGCACAGGCTATTTCATTGAGGTTGTTTGATTTTTCTGAATTTCCTGCGAAATATTCTTGATAGTGTCGTTGGTTTTAGTATTTTTTGTCATTAACATCACCCTCATTGTCTTTCACGATCAAAACAATGAATCATAAAATGGCAAGTGTGGCATATTTGCAAAAAAAAAAAAAAAGGTGAAACTATGGTATTTCCCAAATTTTAGTGTCATGGGAGATGGCCCATCACTAGCCTCCCTCTCCTTTGTCTTTATAACTTTTTATTTTGGGGATATAGTTTCTTCTATTTTGTGTTACAGCTAAAGTGATGTATTGTTTTCATGGGTTGAAATCAAACGTGTTGCAATTCAGCCCTTCATTTAGCAAATTTTATTTTTCTAGGATATTCCAGGGTATGTTTTGATGTAGGGGACTTGTGAAAAGAGGGATCTTGGTTTTTGTCTGGATGATTCCTCAGTTGCCTTGATCTCTTTATGGATAATATAGGTGGTATTTGGAGGGTTAATGAGGGACTTTGTGAAGAAATTGTATCCCTATTGTTTCTTTATGGTTGGGGGAGAAGTAATATTAATTATAATTTCAAACATGAAGTTGCATTTTGGATTGTGTGAATGAAATTATGTTCGGGCTAGCTTAATGAGTAATAGCTGTAGCATAGAAAGTTCAATTCCTTCTTTCTTTGAGGTTTCACTAGAATCGGGTGTAGATTAGCACTGTGAAATTATAGACAAGACTACATATGGTTGTGTTCGATATCTCATCCACCAATCCACCACTTATGAATTTCTGTTTCTTTTTAATACTACGCATATATACTTATGCATTATTTTTCATTTGAAATATATTTGGCTCAAAACTTTGCTCGGACACTAGTGCTCGCTCTCGCATGATAAGAATGCTTATAATGGTTTAAAGTGCTTCCTTTACATAGCTATTCAGAACATTAATTTATTATGGTTTGGGAATTATAATTGCGCAGTCTTGTTTTCAAATAGTCTGAATGTTGGGAAGTATTTGGAATGATGAGCAAGCATGGTCATGCTACTGCTGTAGTTGGAATATTACCTTGAAGTAACAATTCCTTTTCTTTTTTTACGCTTGAATGTATATATATTTATGTTCGATAGGACATTCTAATGGCATAAAGTTCTGAAATATTCCAAACCATCCTATAGTTTAGGTCCTTCCAGTACTTTTTGACTTATTGGTAATGTATATTTGAACAAAAAATGGAAGTTTTTGACATGCCTACGTGTATGCTACAGTCCCTTGCTTTAACAACGTAGCACACACATCTAGTTGTCGGTTTCTTTCTCTTTTTTCTTTTTGATATATTGTTTCTGGGAACCAGCTCTAATTTAACTTCTGTTTTCTTCTCTTTCCAGAAAAATATGACAGAAGGTAAAGATTATTGCCAGCGCAAAATTTCATTGCTCCAGTCCAATTATGATCAACTTCTTGAGGTATGGTTCGTCAAACAGCTTGTTGCACCTTTTCAGATGTTTACAAATACTCAATCTCTGGCTTTTGTTTATTGTTGGAAAATTTTTCGCCCTTAGAGTTCTGATTAGTAAGAATTCAAAAGAAAAAAAAAAATTTGCTTTTGGTATTGGTATTCTGGTCTATCATTTATGTTTCTTGTACTTAGGTTTTGTGTGGGTAATACCATGTTAAGTTAGTTTAGATTGCCTTTAGAATGTGCAAAACATTTATATGTTACCGTCTTTATTTACTTTGTTTATATAATACGTGGCGAATATTAAGAGAAACTGGTGCAATACCCGTAGAAATTATGTAAGCGCACAAACACTACTAGGTGATAGAAGTGGTTTGAATCATTTATTGCATCTTCTTAGCCCTTTACTCTTCAATATCAGTACTTTATGCTAGAGTTAGTTACCTTGAAGAATTTGACAAAAATGGATGAGCATGGAGAACATTTTTGTTATTCTAGAAATACTGCATTTCTAGGGCAGTAGAAAATTAGAAATTTTTGCACTCGTCTGGGGGAATGCAAAACAAACCCATTGCTATGTGGAACTAGCAGAATAAACACTTGTAGTTTGCTTTTGCTGACTTGTCCTCAAACTACTTGAAAGTCGATGGCTTGAGGAAAGCTCCTGCTGGAATTGGAAAGGTGGCGGGGATCTCACACGTGATTTGATTAGTCTCCAGTTGTTTGCTGTCATGGCTGATTTATATTGCGCAATTGATCCTGTAGCTGTGGAGGGTAGCCATACTAGTCAGCTTCTTGATCAATTTTGCCAAAAACACCTTATGATAAATAAAAAAAAAAAAGAAAAATGAATAAAATAATAAATCTTAATATGATAAACTGATTCTTGCGACAAGAAATATTTCCTTTTTAATTCTTAGAAAATTGTTTTGTAGCCATGGCTACAAAATAACTAGATATTAACTATGAGAACTTAAAATCTACTCAAAACTACTAGGAACAATAGGAGTAACCATTAGACAATTATATGCTTAATTTCATACACGTGGCATGCTTGAAAAAACAAGATTTGAAATAGCATGACATATGTCGATATAAGTATGCATTCATCATTTTTTGTTCATAAAGTGTGATGGGTCGACCTATTTGAGCGTCTCATGTATTATGTTAGTGTCAAAACTGATACTGGTAAAACTATAAATCATAAATTAATTGAAAATAATCTAGTTTAGAAAAGTTACCATACTCAAATTTCCTACTCTTTTGAGTTAGATATATGAAGAAGATAGAGTGAAGAGTATAGATAGGGGAAAAGAAGGGAAAAAGAGAATTGTTTTATTATATTTATCTACTTATAGTTCACTACACTCTTATTTCGATTACCTACAAGTAATAACTTTGGATGTGACCAATTTAACTAATGAAAGGAAATAACATAAAACGGGTCTGTTAGCAAAACCTCCACAAAGCCCCAAATAAATGTTTGGCTCACAGGTTGTCTTAACCTATGAATTCCTTTTCCTTAAGTTACAGGAATATTTTTGTAAGATGAATTTTGACAGAGCCGTGTAGGCTATCCATGTGTAGTAGTTTGGAATTTTACCTCAATTTCGCTTTTAGTGAAGGAGAGCAACCACAAGCCGTATTAGAAGATATCAAGAAGCTACCCATTGCTTGCTAGTATTATGGAAATTGTCTGAAAAAAAAAGAACATTATAGAGTTTATTATTATGAAATCGTCGGTAACACTCTTTCGTGAAAGAAAGATAAAAAAATATGCCAATGGTAATTGTATGTGCAGGTGGCTGCTAAGAAAAAAAGTATAGCTGATGAGGCTGGGGCAGTTCTACAAGCAAAATTGAAGCACTCGACTTCCGCACAGTAACTACTGTAATTCATTTGTAATAGTCAGTGGCTATTTGTGTTAAAAGGGTGAATTTTGTGGCAGTGAAACAATGTCTTGGGCGCTGGGTACTCCATGAGATATGAAGTTAATGTGATCTTCTGTTCCATTTTGTATACCATCATTTGTTTCGCAATGTTTAGTTGATTTTATGTATGTTTGGTAAAACTACCTGAAAAATTAATTGATAGTTCATAAGTTAATTACGAGCTTTTAGTTGATAGCTTATGGTGATGGCTGAAAAAATATAGCAAATATGATAAAAGATTGGCAGAATTAGCTGATTAGTCAACTATATAAAAATTCGAACGGTTCTTTTTTTTTTTTTTTTTTTTTTTGAAAAGTTACATAATAATGAGATAAAGTCAATGTTTAGGGTAAATTATTTTTTCTCATCCGAACTATCAAGGTTTTGGCGCATCACCATATAAATTATTTTTTTACAAACCTCCATATGAACTATACGTGTTTGTCAACGTGCCCCCTAAACCAGATATAAAAGTGGTTTTGACTGAAAAGGCTGTTTGGTCACTATATGTGCCCCTAAATATTTTTACAAACCACCATCTGAACTATCACGTGTTTGTCAATGTGCCCCCTAAACCACTTTTATATCTGGTTTAGGGGGCATATTGACAAACCCGTATAGTTCATATGGTGGTTTGTAAAAAAAAATAGTTTATATGGTGATGCGCCAAAACCGTGATAGTTCGGATGGGAAAAAATATTTTACCCCAATGTTTAATAAAAGTTTATCATGTCACACCAAACTTACTTAAATATAATTTTTTTTAAACAGAACTTCTAGAGCTACTTGATTAGATACGACACCGGCTGCATTTCCCCAAGGATGCCCTATAGAAATATGCTCGACTAAAAGGTACTTTAGGAGCGAAGTCGCGAAGGCGCAGAAGGTTTGATGTATCTCTCATACATAATGACTATCAAAAACCGTTTTTGACTTCACTTCGCTTCGTTCATTGAGTAAAAAAAGCGCGGAAAGACTATCCTCGTAAGAGAGACTAGGGACCCACACTTCTTTTGTGCCACGAGGTTAAGTCGACGGATCAAGAAGAAGAGAGCACTTCACTTTCCATTATTAATAAGCTATTAACTTGGTATCCGCCGAATACCCACCACATGCTCGGCATAGGGTCAATAATTGTATGTGGCATTTATATGTATAGTTTTGAGAATTTTACCCCCCCCTTACTAATCCTTGTTAAATAATATTAATAACTATTACAGACACCCGTGTATTATACGGGTACATGAAAAAATAATTTGAACAAAAAGAGTAAAAGAATTTAGTTATTATAAGTATATACAAAATGTAGAAATGGAAGTTTCATAAAACTAAAATTACTTTACTTAGATATTTATTTCAAATTCTCGATAAGTTTCTTTCTACACGACATTATTAGTTCTAATGAGAATATATATATATATATATATATATATATATAGAGAGAG